GACATGCTAAAAAAATCAGACTCAATTACACAATATCGATACTCTATTTTAACAAAAATTACTAACCAATATAACTTGTAGCTTTCGCAGCAGAAGAAGAAAACACAACTTCGTCAGCTTGACTGCTGCCAGTCGTCAGTTTAACTAGCGAACTTCCTCCGGTTCTGAGAGTTGTTGAAGGAAGATAATTTGGTGAACTCTTCTCATCTTTCTTTGTCAGCTCAGACAGCAAATTCTTGTGTTCGTTCCATTCCTCGTCTTTACCTTGTCGTGAAGTCAAAAGCCAATTTTTCGTCAAAGGTAAGGCTGATAGAGCATTTAAAGGCTGCCCATAATGGGCTGTGAAAGCTTTTCCGAGATAATACAAAGCTTCGGGTCCCTTCAAGAGTGGTTCCAACATCCTGATACGCGCCTTGCTGATTTCTCGCTTCAAATCCTACAGGACAATGAAATTATGTTAAAAAAAATCCATATGTTAAAGAACAAAATGAAAAATATATGGATTAAGCCCTAACAGGAGCAGCATCAAGACCTGGATTTGTTCGAGGACAAAGCGCAGCCCCTTGATCAAGGCAATCACTTGTGAATTCTGTGAGCCAACACTGGCCTGACAAGTGTCTGCCAGATCTTTTATAAATTGCTGGTGCTTTTTCTTCAGTTCATCCTCATAAGCCGATGCTGAGAGCTTCCGTAGAGTGACTAATGCATATTCTAGGATCTTCCCAAGATAATCAATGTCTAATTTCCCAGAATAGAGCACCTAAAAAGCCAAAACAACCAAAAAATCAATTTTCTGTCATTCTTTCTGAATAAAAACACATGATTTATAAAAAAATAATTAAAAAAATAGAATTATCGCCAATTGGATACCTGAGCAAAAATTTCCAGGTCAAGAGCTTCTGTAATTTCTCTTCTCCAGCTATGAGGGGCCATTGCACAAATTCCATCCCTCACCTCCCTCATCAACTCCACAGCACGGCTATAGTCGGGTTTATCCTGTTTCATGGATTCAACAATGCCGTCCCAGAAGGCCTTCTCCATAGTCTCTTTTATCTTAGCCTGGTGAAATGAGATTAGATTAGAAAGACATTTTATTTAAATTCGAGTAGCAAATAATACATTACATAGTGTAAAAAAACTGAACCATTAGAAGTAGCAAAGTCACTAACCATGGCATCCTCTTGATAGTAGCCAGCAGAATTGGAGCTATCGGCCCAAGAGAGGGGCTCCCCATGAACATATTCGTTTACAATTCTAAGATTCTCCACATCCAAACTCCCTTTAGAGGAACTGACTTCCTTGGGAACAATTTCATCCCTGAATAATGACCGAACCACTGAACTTTGCTTTTGAGAGGTCACAGATGAGTTTTTGGCCTTTTCTGAGCTACCAGGTGAAGAAGGGGAAGCTGAACTTGCGGGGGATAACATAAGTGGGGTCAATGGTGTAATAATCATGTTGCCTCTCTCCCTTGCTTCAAAAAATTTGGTTCGAGTGTCGGAAATTGCATCTTCCATACGCTCAATACCGGCTTCTCCGCTCAGATGTAGGATTTTCTCTCTCAGAAGTTTCTGATCTTCAGACACCTGCATTACACAATAGTACGATCAATCACAAAGAGCAGAACAGCCGAATTTGAATACAACATAGTACAAACCTGTTTCTGAATAGCTTTCATGTCATGTGAAAGAGGAGCACTATTATCCCCTTCAGGAGTCATTTTGCAGGTCTGAATCATAGAAAGTTCGAGTCGGCATGCAGCCCTTACCAAATCCTCCTCAAGCGACCTGGCATCTTTAGCCTTCCACACCACAAAGCTATTCAAAAAGGAGCACCAAGCAGAATCAAATGCTGCAAGCTGAGACCTAAAGGTCCGACGCTTTAACACGACACCATCAGATTCCTCATCAGGAACCTGTAAAGGCCCATTTAGAAGTATCTTAATCAGGAGCTCGAACTCCTTCACAAACTTCTCAGCAGATTTCACCAAAGCCGTCTCGCGCTCGCCTTTTCCGCTGATAACAGCATCTGGATGACCTAATATCATGTAAGCACAGAGAACTATCCTCACTTGGTACCTCGACAACTGAGAAGGAGTTTTGGCAGCTTTTTCGGCCGATGAAGATCTCCGTGGTGTATTCTTCTTGGGGGAGGCTACTCGCTTGAGGAGGTGATCTATGTCATATGATCCAGAAGATTCAAGAGCAGATCGAGATATTCTGAAGCGAGTTTCAAGCCGATCAAGTAACACTTTGGTAGTGGTAAGAGCGTAACTTGACTGTATAAGAAGTGCAAACTGCTCAAATGGCATGGACTTCACAGATGTCTCATTTATATTTACTATATTATAAGCGCTGGCAAGATCTGCAGTAGTTCTCCTCAGCCTTCTGAATTCCCTCCAGCACCTGAAGTATTAGAGACACAAAATAAATGAAAGCCAAAAGATTGCAGGATAAACTCGTCTGAACTCAAAGCCAGTTATTTAGAGATCAACATACCTTGATAATTTAATAGCAAGGACTTCAGCATCCTCATGAATTGTTTCCCAGCTATTATAAATAGCATTATACGGTCGTCCCCTCCGCTTCAAATATTCTGCTCTGTTTCTCCTCGCCTGTTCATAAAAAATTCTTATAAGTTTTATAAAAGGGCCATACTGCACGAGAACCGTATATTTCTAAATGTTCTTGAACAAATAATTAAATACCCGCTGCAATCTGTCTTCGAGCTTGTTCCTCATTTCACTTCTTTCCATCTCTCGCAGGCTATTAATATTGCTGGCAGCCTTCTGCACCTGCAAGACCCTTGAACGAGCTCGCCGTTTTTCTGCTTCCAGCAAACCTATCCGTTTTTTCTCTGCATTCGCCCCCTTTTGGAACATTGCAGCACATGTTCGTTCCTTATACTTGTTCTCTCGAGCCATACGCCGCATTAATGACTGTGATAACCTCTCTTTCAGATTCGATCTCCTTTGGCGATGAGCTCGAAGAATACGCAGTCTGTTGGCCTCCGCCTGGCGAACCCGCATCTCAACCTTTGTACCCAACTCATCACGTTCCCTTTTGAAACGCATTTCCACTTGTGATTTAGCGGCTTGCCGCAACTCATCGAGCTTAGCCAGGCGCATTTGCGCATTCGCCAGGATGCTCAATCTATTATACCCAGAAAAACAGTACCAACATATGAGAGACATAATGATTTGGCGACATTCTGAGGAAGTTAACCAACGAGGATGAGCAGAAAAAGTTTTTTTAAATAAATAAATTAAACAATCAAGAACCACCAAAAAAATGTATGCAACAGTGTTTCCAATTCCCACTATCTTTTTTGTCATTCTAAAGCATGTTATTGGGTCAAGGTGAGGACTTTCACAGTCTTAACAACCAAGGAGAAGGGAAGATGTATGATTTGATGGTCATATAAATGAATGCATGGCTAAACCTAAACTACTCCAATAAATTAGCGTTGATAAGTAAGAGCAGGAGAACTAAGCCAACCTCTTCTCTTCAGCAGCTAAGAGCTTAGCCTCGAGGCGTTGTCCAAGATCACCTTCTTGAGACGATGATCGTAAGGGGCTTCTCGGTTTTGGCCTAGCCTTGTTTGATAAACTCTCATAGAATTTCTGCAGTTTCGTTAATGTGAATTCATGATAAAGCTTCAGACAAAATATAATCTATATAGCAAGGACAATACTGAATCAAAAAACTGCACTATAAACAAATGTGAACGAACATTAAGAACATTCAAGCAAAGCCTTCAAAAGATAGTAGTTGAATGAGGTTTATTTTCCAAAAACATTTCAGAATGTAATTCAGAACAAGGTGCAGAAAAAGAAAAAAGAATGTCAAAAAACGGCTGCTATCATAGGTGAGGTTGTTTATTTTATTTTATTTTCAATATTATTTGGCGTGTAGGTTATTTCTGGGTTTGGGGTTTGGGTGGACTGAGGGAGGGGACCACACTCAGACATACTTGCTCAAGCCATCTTTTACACCTACCACGAGGAGAAAAAAACCGAACCTTCAATTGGAAAAAAGCTGGCCCAGTAAAAAGGAAATTAAATATAAAGAATTGCCAAAGCAAGTTCATAAATCCGTCCAAAAGATGAAATTTATTGAATAATTTAACGAATAAATAATCCACATGATCTCAAACTTCAAATCCAAAAAATCAAATAGTACACGCAATCGATCATCTTTCCCCAATTTTCAGCAAGTTAAAAAGTCGCAAACCACAGATGAAACACGTAACGCTAGTAAAACAAATAAAGATACCTGACGTCTAATATCAGCCTCACGGAGTTTGGCTTGGATTTCTTCAACAGTAGAAGGCGGCGGCGTCTTCGGCTCGGAGAGCTTCCTCCGGAGCCACGGAGGCATGGTCGGAGGCGAGCAGGCCGTAACCCCTTCCCCCGCCGGGATCTCCATGGCGATCCCCGCCGCCGGCATCCCCCTTTCCGGAGACTCCATCACGCCCCCTCCGGCCAAAAATCAATTCAACCAAAAAAAGGCACACAGAAGGACTCAATCAGCGTTCAATCCGCCGAAACCGCAGCTCAGGAACCGATCAAGCCCCACTGTAAAGCCACCACTGTCCAGAAACAAAAATTATCACTCAGTCCCAACAAACCGAAATCGATTGCAGAAAAATTAATCGAAAACCAAGCCAGATAGAACACACAAAGCCTCGCTCTGCATATAACAAATGAGAGAGAGAGAGAGAGAGAGAGAGAGAGAGAGATGGGGTTTAGGAGACGGGAACACGACGATTGGGTTGAAATGAGATGTTTTTTCGATGGAAAAAGTGAAAAACAAGCTTTAAAGTGAGTATTCAGTATTCTAGAGAAGGCGCCTTTTGTGTTGAAATCGTGTAACGTCAGAGATGAGTTTCTTAAGAAAACGTGTTGTTATGAGGTTGCGTGATGACACGCGTGGCCAGTTTCGGTTTGGGTGGGTAACGGTACAATTTGGCTTTGTGTGAACAGAAATCAATATTTTCAGGAAAAAAAAAAAGAAAGAACAGAAATCAATATCGGGCACGTTTTCTATCTATTGGACCGTTTATTAAAGCTTTAATTGTGTGATTGATTGGACGATTTTGCCCATAGCTTATTAGCTTAGCACTCGGCCAATAAAGCTATGTTTCACAGCAAAGAAGATAAGGCCTGGCTTACAAATTTTTTATATTTATATAAAAGTTTCGTTTGCCCGAGTTTATCTCATAAATTTTTTTAGATATTTTTATAAATAAGTTTAATTAATTTTTTATTTTATTTAACTTATCAGTTAATTTTATTAAATATTTTTATCATATAAGTTAGTTTTAAAGTATAAATCATAAATTATAGATTGTCAGCTAGTTTTATCAAATAATATCTAAGTGTATGTGAGAAATCACTGTTAATCATCTTAAAATCACTTAATTAAAATCATCTTAATTCGGTTCCACTTATTAAGATCACTTAATTTCTTCTTGTTTATATGAATTTTTATATGAATTTTACAACTTAATTATTTCATTAAAATTAGAATTTGGCTTGTTAATAAACTCATATTCGTTTATAGGCTTGTTTACGCCTCCAGATTTGACTCAATTGAAATATAGCTACGTAATAAATTAGTCAAACCAAATTATTCTCGAGTACCGTTAAATGGAATCAGAAAAGAAAAAAGAAAAAAAATTGAATTAGATTTCTGAGTGTGGAGCTATTCTTTCGTATTTGACTTCTTTTAGGAATGATTACTATATTTGTATTTAGTTTGGGATGATCAAATGGACTTCAACTCCAAATCTTCTTGGAATTCGGTTTAGATTCTTCGCATGATTAGCACATTACACATGAATTCGGTTTAGGAGTAATGTTATAGAATAATGTATATAGAGTTGTACATAATACTCACATTAAGTGGGTCATATCAAAAATAAAAAAATTAAGTGAATCGCACTCCATGTGCGTGTTATGTACACCTCTATATACATTTATTATGTAATTGTAATTATGGGTAGACATGACCACGGGTCAACCGGTCCGTCGACCTGGCCCAGACCCGGCACGGTCAAACCCGTTGACCATGGGTTCGGGCCCGGCTCGGATTTTCAACCGGGCCGGTTCAGGGTCGTCTTTTTTTCGACACCGACTCAGCGGGTCGGGCCGGGCCGGGTTCGGTTCGGTACGAGGAAAATTAATTGTTTTTGAATTTTTCTATTTTTTTTTAAAATTTTTTCGGGTCAGACCTGGTCGGGCTCGGCCCGGCCCGCCGAGTCATGGGCCCGGCACGGGTTTAGGGCGTGCCGGTTCAGGGTCGACAAAACCTAATCCTTCGACCCGCCGGGACGGGCCAGGCCTTGAACCGGCCCGTCATTTGGCCATGTCTATCTATGGGCGGAAGCAAGTAGAAATGCACCTAGTCTGTAGCCCGAGTAAGATACCTCTCCATCCATTAATTTAATATAGCCATCCATTAGTTTAATATATTTTATTATATTTTGATTTCAATCCAGCCCGTGGGCGGTGAGGACAAAAATTAAGGTTAATACTTAATAGACATGTTTCACATAATATTGATGTTTTTCCAATTTATGCTTTAGAATTTTATTTTCCAAACATGTAATCCTTTTATTAGTATTATTGTAGCGCCCCGTTTATTTGTGGATTATTTGGGATTTATTTTTATTATTTTTATTGCTATTATTATTGTTATTATTAATTGGTAATAATATTTATATTTTATTTTATTGAATGCCATTGTATTTATTTATTTGTCAAATGTGTTTAAATGCTAATTGTGAAATTTGTCTAATTGTTTATTTGATTTTTGTGATTTTTTTAAATTATTAATATGTATAAATGTGTATGTGATAATGTGTATTATAAAAATATGAAATATATATATATATATATATATATATATATATATATATATTGTTCGGTTTATTTATCGTGCGATCGATTGGAACTGTCGAAATTAGTAATCGAAGAATCCCAGCCCGAGAGCTGGATTTATTTTCGTGAATCGTAATCGAGCCCGAGAATATTCGTTTGAATTGTAATCGGGCCCGTGAGCCGAAATTTTTATTTTAAATTATCGAGCGAACCAAGCCATTTTGTTTTGGCTAAATCGATCGAGAAATCAAGCCCGAGAGCCCGAAAATATTCGTTTGAACCGAAACCGAAACCGAGCCCGTGAGCCGGATTAATGTCGTGAACCCGGCCCAAGAGGCACAAAAGCCAGCCCAACAACTCGAACCGCCGGTTTTTCCTTCTCCTTTTTCGTGAGAAATTCTTGTGGGCCAAGACAAAATTTAACCTATTGTATTGTGTACATAATTTGTATCTACTTCTCTCTTCCAACACAAAACACGCCCGCAGCCATCTCCTCCTTTCTCTCTCTCGCTATTCCGTCATCTTCTTCTCCCTCGCAAGCAGTCTCCACCGATCATCCCACCGGCCCTCTCCTTGCTCGCGTTTTTCCGGCGCCATCATCTTCCTCGCGCATGATTTCCAGATCGCGACCAATAATCCGGCGAGTACATCTGCTCGCGAAAATTCCCGTCGTCATCCTCGTGAGCACGCCGTCGCCATCTCGCCATCTCCTCACGCCGCGACGCACCACCACGCCGCGACTGAAGCCCCTGCCGCGCCGCGACCCTCTCCCCTGCTGCGCCGTGAAGCTTGTTCCGATCTCTGTTTGTGGCTTTTCCGGCGAGCTTGGTAATTCTCCGAGCAGCGACGTCCGGTGACCTTTCCGACGAGCCCGTGAACCAGCAACAGCGACCTTTCTCCTTCCCGTGCACATCGAGCCTTCCTTTTTCCGGCGAGACGAGTTTACCGTCGAGCCCGTTCGGAACCATTCTCGCTCGATTCCCGAGAACGGTACCTCGTCGTTTTTTCGTCTCGTTTAAATTCATATATGTTTCGTTGAATTGTTTATGTTCGTGAAGTGTTCATGTTATATATGATGTGAATTTATTATGTGAATATGTGCGATTATATGATTGTTGTGATTTTATGCGTTCGTATGTTTGGGATCTCTTCGATTTTCTCAAAAAATCGAACGAGACCTCGAAAGTCGTGTAAGTCGGTGGATAATGGAACAATGTCGAGTCCTTGGTCTTATGAAAAGGCCTCGGACGATAAATTGTGTGTTGTGATTTAATTATCAAGTTGTCGAGCTTGTTAATCGCTGTTTTGATGTTCGAATTTTTAAAAATAGCTCGCTGCTCGAAACGATGTGAAATTTTGAGGGATGTGTTATCTGTTCGTTTCCTGCCTTGTGTAAAATTTTCATAATTTTTGGAGACCTGTAGCTATTTTTAATAATTAGATTGTATTCTGTCCAGAATATTGTTAAATGCATAATAAATTCATTCCTCACTAAAATGAGCTGAACTTCGAATATGTCATGCCTCTATGACCTATATGTGTTGTGTTAAATTTTCAGAATTTTTGGAGTTGATTTGATGTGGTAAATATTTTATTTATCGTATCTGCAGAAATATTGTTTGAATTTTTATAAATTGGTTACCGGATGAAAAATTCTGAAATTTTACCGAGAGGCCTATTTTGTGTGTTTAATCATGTTTGTAAAATATGGAAATTTTTGGAGTCCGTTTTGATTCAGTTTGGGTTTAAATTCGATGAACTGTTGTTGCTCGTTTGAATTTTTAAAAATAGCAGCAGTTACCATTTAAGGCTGAGATTTTTACACCTGGACTTTCGTATACCGTATGTTCTTGTGTAAAATTTTCAAGATCAGATTCATTCATTAAGTCTGAGTATGAATTAATGTGCCTATTTTGTTGATATCTTGTTCGAATTTTATAAATTAATGTGCTTTGAGTTTAAAGCTGAAAATATATGGTTTTACTTATTGCTGGAAGATGTAATTTTGTGTAAAATTTCAAGGCATAAGTCGTAGGGCAGCCTGGTCAATGAATTTCATGTGATTAATAGCTAGAAATTCTGAACTAAGATTTTAAAGTTAAATCTGTAATTGACTTGCTTTTCGTTCTGTTGTGAGTTTGACTTGGTCTATCATTAGATGGAATTATTTGAACTCCCTTATGTGGTTTGGTCGAGTTTAGTATTGAGTCTTAGTGTTCCAACATCCACAGGACTTCACGAACTACTTAGTCGAAACAAGTTCGACTAGGTCTGTTTTGTGTTTTTCGTTTAAAGTCAAGATAGATGTTGATTGTAGCATCTTGACTCAATGTAGGTAATTGAGGAGTCCAGCCTCGACCTACTTCCAATTGCTTTGAGTTATTATCAATCCGGAATCCAGGTGGGTTATTCTAAAATTATCTATGCATATGAATGATTTAAATTGTGATGAAAGTTTGGTGTGATCTATGTATGAAAATGAACATGTAGCCTATCGATGTGAGCTTGATGGCCGTCGATACGGTTGTCCCCGTATGATAAGATACGGTTACCCTGTGAGGTAAATCTCATAAGACCTATGAGAAG